GACTCGTAGATAAACATTAAGGGATATACTTTATTGACCTAACTAGCCGACCACCAAATGTGATGTAATTCAATGCATAATGAATTAACGCAATGTTTTATGATGTTCTGACGTTATCAGATTCAAATACTTCAGCAATATCAGCACCATCCGGTAGGATGTCAGAGAATTGATTGCATGTACTCTCACATGACATTACAAAATTATAAGTATAACCAAAAATTAAGACGTGTGTCAAAATTCCTCATGGTTTGATATTCTATACTTAATGGTGATGGTGTTTGACTCCAATCAGCACATTCTAATATGCTAAAACAATTATGTTATCAATTATTACTTTTCTTTTATGTGATTTAAACATCAAATACTGTTCGATTAGAACATTTCAGAAAGCAAACACTACTCCCTAAAACACCAGACTATGGATGGTCCACAAAGTAACAATTTTCTTCCAAATATTCAATCTGAATTAACCCCCCCCCCCCAAAAAAAAAATTTTTTTCAACCTAAAACATCGGGATATAAATATAAACAAGTTCATTAGAGCAACTAAAACATTTTATAATATTATGCCTTCCAAAAAGTTGGAATGAACTTGGTAATGATGGTGACCATCCAGAGCTAGCATATGAGAACAAATTTATTTGGAAGTTGTTACACACATATGAAAAAAATTCCAAAATATGTAATTACCGTAAAAAGTTTTTATGAGCAGGAATGTGATTATGAAAGAGAAAATTCCATTATACAGGCTTTTGGAGTCTGAGTTTGCCATTCAATGTAACTATTGACACCAAGACTTGTGAAAGAAAGTTTAAATTACTTCATTACATTCTGTTTACAAAGATCTTTTTAAAAGGGGTATAGTTCAGACTGCATTGTGCACATTCTGCGAAGAAGAAAATTAAATTTAAAACCTTTTTTATATGTGTGAATTTTGGAAAAACTTTCTCCAGTGTTTCCAAAACTTCTTAATGTTCGTGGTCAAGCCTACAGTGAATGTCTTTGGTGACTCTGCTTTTTCTATGATTTATAACCACCATATGTTGATAGCCAAGAAAGGGATCATGTTATTTAACATATGCTGGAAAAAACAAGTTGTCACAGATCTTACCTCACATACAAGACATCCCAATACATGTACTAGTATTTTGCATTACGTAGGAAAAACACACGAACAATTTATTGGTACGTTAGGGGCGCTGTATACACGCGAAACACATTAGTGATATCAGTGACCGTTGATCTCTCGGTCACAACCTTTAAAATAAGATGGCTACCCCAATACGTCAGTGAATATTGAGAGAGCCCGAGGCCGGTACCGGTTTTACCATATCGCTGTTTCCCAGTGCTGCTACAAAATGAGTTTTCTAACAAGTGACGAAGCTGTTGTAGCTTTTCAGAAATATTTCGGTGTGGTTTCGATCGGCAATTCTGCGAGTGAGAAGCACTGCAATGATACATCTCGCCACAGCGAGAACAATGGACTCGATGCAAATCGTGTTACATCGCCCGGGCACACTTACCGGCTTCGAAACAGAGTAATACCACTGCAACAACAAAAAGACTCGGCCAGCCAAAAGATTGAGACGGAACAAGCTCATACCAACGGAATAATTCTGGATTACGAAATTAGATCATATTTCTGGTTTTATTTATTCACTTTCGGGGCAGCTCTGGCCAATGAAGTATTCTTCATGATATTTCTACCGCTCTGCTGCTGGAACGTAACCATGCTGCTACCCAGGCGAATCGTATACACATGGATGATTTTGTTCTATCTTGGCCAAGGATCTAAAGATGTCGTGAAGATTCCTCGTCCAACTTCCCCACCGGTGATTCGATTGGATACAACCCAAGTGTACATGAAGGAATATGGTATGCCGTCAACTCACGCCATGCTGGGGATAGGGTTAATTGGAACTATTATGTACACCTTTGTAGAACAATATGAGGTATGTCAAGCAAGTTCATATAATTTTTCAAAAAATTACATAATTTAATTTAATTTACAACAATTGTTCATTTATTTTCTGTTTATGTACTAATACCCTCATTTACTAGCCCTGAGTACAGTCTTGTAGGTTGGCCTTCTTCTGCTGATCATTCGGAGGCCGAATGATCAGTGCATGGAGGTAATTATTACCTCCATGATCAGTGGAAGAAGGCCAACATGCAGGACTGTACTCAGGGCTACCTTATTTACATACACCAGAGATACAATGTCTGATGGCTATATGATTAGCCAATTATAAAAAATGGACATAGATCATTTACAATATCAGTGAACAGTGGTTTTAAACATATATTATACCTCAGTCATGGGGTACCTGGTATATATATATATATTATGTGGCTGTGTATATTCCATTTCCATTCATAGCACCTGTAAGTAATTAGGCATTTAAAGGCAATGTCTAGCATGGTAATACCATGAACAAACATTATCATTCACTGCTGAACCCTGATCAGTGCACAACCCTTTTAAAATGCTCATCCACTGAATATCTACTGAAGAACACAGAATGTTGTACATGTATGGGCATGCTGATATGTTTTGGGATATATAACAGCAGAAAAAGTCGCATAAAACAGCTTTGTGACCTTGATGACCTTGAGCATTGAATTAAGGTCAATCATAAACAAAATGCCCTAGTTGTTTAGAGCATGGATGTCTTAGTACATCCATGTTTAGAGCATCATGGAGGTTGTTTAGAGATAGTCATCACTGCTCATGAATAATTAATGAGCACCTTGACTTAAGCTATGTTCTCACACATCTAAAAAATGCTGTGTTGACACTGTTTTTTTGTTGTGCAAATATTAACTAATCTGCTGAATAGTCTGCTCGAGTTCTCACTTCGTAAAAACACTGGTGTTTTGCATGCACAACGAATCATATCACGGAAAGTTCAATAAACAAATGGAAAGGTCAATCGACAACATTGCGTCCCCTCTGGTAAATGCATTTGCTTTGTTTCCGGTTCTTCCGTGTGTTTTTACGCTCGAGAAGAAGGCAGCAACGATCGATTAATTGAGATTTCGAAGAGCAAGAAATCGCCAACTTGTTAGGTCGAACAAGCCCGAAAAATGATCGGTTCATGTTCACGTTTTTTAACTTGAACTTCCAATAATATCTACAATGCAACTAGTGCTGTATTAGTTGCCGCTTCAGCTTGGCTTTTTTTTCCAGAATAAAATCATTCATGTACGTACGTCACTGAACTTGAACTTTTTAACTTGAACTTCCGATAATATCTACAATGCAACTAGTGCTGTATTAGTTGCCGCTTCAGCTTGGCTTTTTTTTCCAGAATAAAATCATTCATGTACGTACGTCACTGAACTTGAACTTTTTAACTTGAACTTCCAATAATATCTACAATGCAACTAGTGCTGTATTAGTTGCCGCTTCAGCTTGGCTTTTTTTTCCAGAATAAAATCATTCATGTATGTACGTCACTGAACTTGAACTTTTTCACTTGAACTTCCAATAATGTAATTAAAAAGATAGAAACAACAATTTTGTAGCTTTTGCAAAATGGATGACAGGATAACACGTCCTCAGACAGAATGATCCAGTACTAACTGAAGGTTATGTAGATTTAACCCCCGCCCTTTTCATGCTGCCAATTTGGCTTTCCACCCCGGTCAATTCAAACAGGGCTTCACCAGTCTGCCATCCCAGGACTGTCTGTTATTGGATTTGACGTGAATATATTATTTCCTTATGTACGGTACATGCATGCATAGGGTCATGACAAGTCCAAAGTGGCGTAAAAGTGGCGTATTGCTTTGTTATGTGTGTAGAGTTGGTATAATTGGTATAATTTTATTACCGGATAGTATATTCTTACAAACAACACTATATCATGCCTCAAATTTCTAATGACTGCATATATTTATAATCTACAATCATATTTACAAATATATGTCTTGTTTGAGCCAAGCTTAACTGGCAGTGTCTTAATTTTTTGTTATATCTGAAATAAATATCTATCTATGTAGATTTTCACACTTTTAGCTGGGGCCATGAAATCCCGCCTGATTGTGAAATGATTCTAAAAAAAACAAAAAATGCCCGTACGGTAATATGTTTCAACAAGGCACATCACATCACACTCGGCAATATTTGAATCAATGATCAATGCAAACATGCTTGGTTCATCTTATTCAGTGACAGTGGGGTGAACACCATTTCATTGTCCAATATTGGAATTTTGTTCATGGATTTCTCCTTGCTCCTGAAAAAAGGCGAACTATACCGGTTTACCAGCCTTGTAACCAATAGTTTCTCTTTGTGTGTGTGCTCATACGTTGTTGGAATGTTTTATATACATGTACAATAAAAGCTATACAATGTGAGTTTTCCATAAAATGTTTTTTTAGGCAGAAATTACAATGAAATCTAAACTAACATCACAAGTACATCCCTTATATATTCATGGTTGTAAATGTACAGTACCCAATGCTTTCCGATTGTTGAAGAGAGTGATTTCACGGAGTACCACAAATTTATGTAACACGCTTTGAGCATCATTTGCCTACTGGAAATCTTTATTTTTATCCACTCAGAGTCACAGTTTATCTTGGAAAGTTTGAGCTTTGGCTCAATTTTACCGATTTACTGTCTTTTGAGATATTAAAACTGTTCAGCCAATATCAAGAACTATCATTAATATGATAAGCATTATTGTGTTCAAGAGAAATTTAATTTATTAAAATAAAGAGTATAATAATTCAGTTATTTTTTATGATAGCTGGTATATATTTACAGGATTCTCATAATTCTTTGTACTATTGCAGTTTCCTGTCATACCAGCGTTGGTTATATGTTTCCTATGGGTTGCATTGGTGTGTGCAAGCAGACTCTACCTTGGAATGCACAATGTCATGGTATGTACTTCTAGATATTTCCAATCTTCACACCTTTATGTGCTTTTAGCAACTATGCATCTTAACAACCTTCTTAATCCAAAAGCTTTCACAACTATCTTCAGTTTATCACTTGATTACTGGGATTTCATTTATCGTGTCAGTGGTTTAATTAGCTAGGTTTTATTTTCGCTCATTGATTTTAATGCGCTAATTTAAAAGGGCAGTGGTTAGGGTTTTCATTTTTGTTCCAACATTTGTGCTTTCATTATGATTTTTCATGAAAACTGATTTTTTCTTTCATTTTTTGTTGCAAATTTTGATTAAATAAAATCTGTGGTCAGATACAGGAGTATTTTTTCTTGCATCTCATTTTCTCTCATTTGTAATCTTTGCCTATTTTAAATGATGATAAATAGTAATACCATTTGTGTGGCTTTTTTTAGCATTTTGTTATTTGTTACTGGCTTACAGTGTTCTCCCCAGGAATTTAAACCACTGTGGCAGACTAATTTGCATATCATTTGCATATCATTTACACCCACACAAAAAACAACATATATTTTCAAAAACTAAGTGGCACATATTTATAAACACTATTCTTTTGGGCACTTTTGTAATATTAATGTGTTCCGTCACAGTGCAAATTCTTTTTTTATTGGAGTCAAAATATTACGTTTCACAATTTAGCAGAGTTTGAATTTTAAAAAGAAACATTCTCGAATCAAAGTGCAAATGCTGCAGACTAAAAAGAAACAAATAAATTGAAAAAAGTTAAATAAAACTTATTTGAAACATTTCAGCCAGGATTATGTTCACGATTTTCATGATCTTATTTGCTACAAAAACATTTTCCTTCAAAAAATTGTTGTTCTTTATTTGTACCATCAGCTTCTACAACGTTTACATTTACAGTAATGAACGAACAAATAAAACTTTGTTTGTTTATATGAAATAAACGTAAAATTTGACGTAAATTACATTGCGGAAGTAAAGCGATGTCGTAGCACGATGTGTTGCTATGGATTTCAGATGAAAACTGCATAATGGTTTTCAAAATAGGTGATTAGCAATTTTTAGAGGGAAAAGGAATCTTGAAAGAAGAGTTTTTACACGATTCGTGATAATAAAAATTCAAATGTATTTTACCCAATCACGTAATAAACACGTTTTTTTAGCTCCGCTGTCAACTTTGTCGAGCGGAGCCCCGCACAGAAATTGAATGCTGGGGAGAACACTGGGATTATGTTTTCCTGGAAGAAATATAACTTCTGATTTTGCTTAGTCTTCATTGTCTCAATGAGTAGCAACTAGTGTAAAATACTTTATTTTAGCTGGAATTAATTTTCACTGAAAGACCTTTTGGGTTTTTTGCATGGGATTTATTTTCACTGATTTATGACAAATTGAATGTAAAATATAGGACAAAAGGTATATTCGCTGCATTTTATTTTCACTGAATCATTCCTTCAGCAAAAACGGCGAAAATTAATTCCAAGCGAAAGTAAAATATTTTACAGTACCGGTGGTACTGGGCATTTCTAGAAAAGCCAGTGTAGTGGAGTTTTTTGCCTGTTGCATACTACAATGTACCATTTTAATTTAACAGCCCAATTGAGAAGATACAGGTCAATGAATATTAAAATGTATTTTAAAATGTCGTGAATAAATAATATAGTTGTAGTAATTTTTATTTCCTCATAAATATAATTTCAGAGATTCAAGTTCCTGTATGCGTGTCTGAATTGTTTGATTAATAGCATGTGTACTTGCATGTACATGAATGACAGGAATGTGTCTATACATGTAGTCATGATAAGTCTCTTAGTCCCAGTGCGGACTAAGTCTGTAAGCGAGGACTTATGGACTGAGATCCATGTGTCCATGCTTCGCAACCTACTGTAAATAATGAAATTGAATATCAGTGAAAATAAATGGTTTTACAGTATACAGTATCTCACATATGTCTGGTGCCAAACGTTCAAACTTCAAACATATACCGGTATCATTCATTCCACGATCCAACGTTTAATTCTAGTGCTGTATCTCTGACATGTGCTGACTGTTTATGTTCTAAACTTGATGAATACAAATTGAAGTTGTATACTTACATGCTGCATTGCATCTATGAGAAATGTGGTTTTAATAGAGTAAATACTGTATGCCCCTAAGTACCATTGTAAACACAACTTTGCTCATCAAACTATTTGATTCTTTTCAGGACATTGTAATTGGTCTGATATTTGCGGCTGTACTAATGGCGATATATGTACCATTTTTTGATGTACTAGATGACTACTTTGCATTTCACCCCAATGTAGTATGGAACGTGCTGTTGTTACCATCTTTACAACTCTCGTTTATCCCGACATCACCGAAATGAATGCATCGCGCGAGTTGACTACTACCTGTTGTGGTACATCTGCAGGCTTTCTTATTGGAGCATGGTGTCGGCTTCAGTATGGTATTCATCCCCTTGATCCAGTAACGCCACCCCCATACGCTATTCCACCTCTAGAGCTGTCTTGGTTTCTACAAGCTACTGTCCGAACTGCTGTTGGTCTGGTTCTACTATTTCTCACAAGGACCTTAACTAAAATCACTTTCAATACCATTCTATCTGTTATTTTGAGGGTGCCATATACCAAGGCTAAAAAAACTGATATATTGCTGGTAGAGCTGTCACGAAAGTATATGCCTTATTTTGTTCTGTCCTTTAGTGCAGTGTTTCTTTATCCCATGGCATACGA